CAATCAGGGATAAACGGCCAACATCCATTGTTGATGGAGATCATCTTTCTAAGCGAGTCAGACAAGAATTAACTAGTCATGCTCATTATGAAGGTAATATAACACAAAACAATAAGGTCAATAATTAACAATTATTCTTTGAAATCGAGGTGAATAGTGGCTAAATATTTACCGAGCCGCGAAGCGGCGAGGTAAATATTCCTGAAAGCCACTATTCACCGAGATTGCAAAGAATAATTGTTTTACTATATACACACGAAGTGATCTCGACAAAATTAAAAGGAAGCCATTTAAAGGCAATTTCTGTTTCTTAAACTTTAGCGAAACGCGAGCTGAGTTTACGGCCGCTATTTTGCTTTTCACATTATCCACTCGCTCGGAGGTGTACATTGTTGATTATCCCGAGATAGCGAACCAATCAGATTGCTTTAAACGTCAAGATCACTGAGTGTGTAGATACTAGAATATGTTCGCCCGGATTTTACCAGTTTTATAACATAGCTTAAAAAAAAAAACACGCGCTCTGATTCACTAATACGCTTGATCCACTAACCCGTGAGTAGCATGCTGACGTCCGTTTGTTTTGGTTTTTTTTTATCTACACGAAACAAAAGATGTTTGAAAGTCTCAGTGTTGTTGCGACTCTAGCCTTACCAACCTCCCGCGTGCATCCATAACTCGACGTCTGCACAGCGCACGTTAACCATTTCTTAACGTACAGGAGTGAACTCGTAATTCAGGCGAACTGGTAAGGTGCGAATTTGCAATCACGGTGGCGAAACCTCCTTACCCGTTTTCCCACACTTTTTTCATGTTTGAATCGCTTCCAGCATGCTGTGCCACATAAAAAAGCACTTTCGGGCCTTCTTTATCTGATACCAAAAATATATATTACCTCTTGCCAATTTCCTCTGTAGGTTATGCACTAGTTGTCCATTGAAAATATTGCGAATGTATGGTGTCGGAACGGGCTCTTGCAAAACACGGTTTAGATGGATGGCATCTCTCAAAACACACTGCCACTGAGAAAAGGTGTGTGCCGCTTGCACATCGAAGGGTTGGTTTTTGGAATTTTCTAAACATTCTCTCCATGAGCCATCCTCCAGTTTAACACAACCCCAGAGTATGGCGGACAGATGACTGGACTCCAATTTTGGGTTTGCTTTTCTGTACAGAAACCGAAGTGATGCTCCGACTAACTTAAGCTCCTCTGGCAATGACTTGATTTCAGTTGTGTTAGAATGAAGCGCGTCTAAATACATCGCCAACCTCTTATCCGGATCGAGGCTTGGTATCTCACGCAAACATGGTATGTTTTCACCGTCGGCGGGTGAGATACTTGAAGGCTTCACCCGAAAACCCTCTCTGTCCCATTCTTGAACCGTCGTTCTCTTCCCACCTTCCAACGGGGCACTAGCTAAAATTCCATACGTGAATTTTCTCAGAGACTGAGAGCACCGATTCGACGACATTGCGTGAAAATTTTCCACTTGAAATTTGAGCAAGACTTTCCCCGACACCAAGCAGCTCATACAACTGGTGGGAAACCTTCCATCGCGGAACCAGCTCAAAACCCACTCTTCGATTTCTTGGTCGTTTTGAGATTTCAGAAGGCTTGAGACATCGTTGCGTAAAAAATATCCTACCAAACGCGTCTCTGTGATCGTGTATTCCTGGAGAGAAATCTCGACAGCTCGTCTTAACTCATTCTTCCCAGGAACACTTCGAAACACAAATTCTATAGCCTTTTCTGCTGTGGGTGCTTGTGAAAGAAGCTTGCTGATCTTTTGGAACTTTTTTTCTTTTCCTCTAGAAGTTCCCAGCAATCTATGGAGGAATGGCTGTCATAATTGCGAGGTTACGTAATCATTTCCCACTAAAGAGGCGAATAGAGAAAGCAATTCTGTGTGAATTCCAAAATACTGTGCCAATTTTCTGCGATAGAAAATGCGGGCTTTTGAAGGACATCTCTGCCACTTGAAAGAGCGGAGTGGAATAAAACCACCTAGAACATCGAAGATGAAGAAGTCGCTGTCGTTGCTTAGAACAGGACATTCCAAAGCATTGGCCAAAGAAGCAATTTCAGCATCCGCTTCACTAACAAAAGACAAGAAGATTGAATTTTACTTTAAAATATCGGCCTCGTCAACTGCGAAATTATTCATTGAACCACATGGCCATTGTAATAAGCAAATTATCGTCAGCTTTTTGTGAAGAAGTAGCGTCGCCTCCTTTTCACATCGCACACACTTACGAATGACCGTTCAGAAGCAAAAATAATTACCTTCTTCGAATAAGGATATGGACAGCTTGCTGCCCTCTTTTTCTCCGACTCGTATTAGCGCTATTGTTTTAAATGAGGACCAAAGCGAATATGAAACGAAAATTGTTTTGACTCAAATTACAAATTCAAATAGCATGAACGAAATTTCTATTTCGATCTTTTAGGGTATAGAGTATCTTCAAACGTCGTCCTGCTGATCTATGCAGCCAAGATCAGCGGCAGAATAAAATCTGACTTTCTCCTTTTCGTGATTATAACTTCCTTGAATTAG